CACTCCAAGCACCTACCAACCGAGCCACTCCAAGCACCTACCGACCGAGCCACTCCAAGCACCTACCGACCAAGCCACTCCAAGCACCTATCGACCAAGCCACTCCAAGCACCTACCCACTGATTCACTGTAACGCCCAACCTCACGCCCAACGCGACTTCCTGTTTCGGAGTGTTAGTGGGCTTGGAAGTGCGAAGAGGGGTGCGCCAAGGATTTTAGGAAACTGGGGCTGGAGTCCCAGGTCGGAACTGGAATCTTCGCCGTCAAGTTTCAGTGGTAGGAGTGCAAGTGTCTCGTTTTAGCTCGCAATTGGGGCGATCACCGATCTCGCGGCCTGTGTCGGGGACGTATCTGATGTACAGGCGGAACGCTATGAGTATCTCTCGGAGAGCGTATGTACCGTTTTCGGCCAATGCAAGTCTCAGAGTCTGATGAGGACGGCTGTAGTCGGAGACTGTGCTCCCGAAGCTCTGCTTCGGAGCGGGTTCGTCGGACGGACCCCGCCTCGCGATACTCGTTGTATTGCTGGCACTCCGGGCACAGTGTGCGGGGCCAATAACGAGCTATGGAGTCCCGCGGAACAACCGTTAGGTGGTGGCACGGGAGAAGGACGTAATACGGAGGAAAACGGGTAGTAATAGCGACGAAGCCAGAGGTTAGATAATATTGTCTATTGCGGGCGTCGGGATAGTGCGGAATCCGAGAATCCTGGTTTATTGCCCACTGAAAATCGCCCCCGCACAGTCGGTCGTTCTCAGTCTGACATGGGTAGTCAGGATTCTGTGAGTTTCTTCGTCGCCTAAGCTGTTACATACATTTTTTGACAAAGCGAGATTGCAGCTGGGCTTATGAAGACGCGTGTGTATGTTGCAGACTCCGCTACCGGACTCACTGTCATACACGGGCGCTTGCGCAGGCCAACTGCTCAAATTCCATCTTGTCGCACGGATAAGTCGGTGATAGGCGCTTCCATCCGTGTGTCGGTTTGTCTCGTACGCAGGCAAATATTCTCCTTATGCAAACATCATCAGTTCCCGTGAGATCCAACCGTTACATGCATATCCATACCATCATGCAACAAAGAAGAGATTGCCCAGCATCAAAGACCAATACATCGGATCATTCTTGCAATCATGCATGAACTAAGAGCAAGTGGTCAGGCCAGACACGTGCGTCGAGCGTATCCAGCCAGATCCGGGAGAACCGAAAACTCGCGGATCGCGGTGCACGCAGTGCAGATGGGTGCTAGAAAGCGACGAACTTTGAATTAAGCTAACGCTATTGAACAAAACAAAATTGGAAGTCAAAAACAACTCGAGAAAAGAGGCACGAGCATGCATACATACGTACGAAACAGAAAATCCGAAATGATTTATAAAGAAAACTGAAACCACCGCAACAAAATTGGCCGCGTTGGAGTCAAAATTACACAGAAGGTGGGAAGAAAGGCATTGTTCCACCATATCCCCGTTCCTCTCTCTCTCTCTCTCTCTCTCTCTCTCTCTCTCTCTCTCTCTCTCTCT